AGGCAAAATGACATGCAAACATGGCATGCACACAAAGACCAACACTTAGGGCATATAGAAACAACTCTCAAGCACACTTAAGAAGTGCAAACATGGACAAATGGCATGCATTATAAGCTCTGAATAGTCATGTTAGGAGAAGGTGCCAAACCAATCTATCAATGCAACTAGGCATGCCACCAAGCCCAAGACTTAACCATGGCCATATGACATATGAAGCAAAAACCAAAATGACTAAAACAGTCCTAAATCATGCAAAAGTAAGCCCAAAACCTCTTAGATGGCATCTAAATGATCTAATCCTAGAGGACATACACAATGGCACAAACATGGAGCAAGAACACCAACCTTTTAAAGCATGAAAGGGGCATCAAATGCAAGCATATGAGCATATCATGAGGAGCTGAAATGACATGACAAGGTGGTTCTAAACCACTGAATGATGCAAGGATGCATGCTAGAGGGGTCAATGTTAAGGCATACAAGAGAGGTTACATGGTAGCTATACAAAGCAAAGCATGACAACCCAAATGATCAAAACACGACCTTAGCAATGCTAAAACAAGCCTGAAAGATTCACAAAGCTAAGCCAAAAACATGCTAGAAACAAGGCTCAAAGCACAAGGCATGTTAAGGCAATTCATGGCATTACAAGACATGTATGCTAAGAAAGCATGGTGTACTAACCAACTCACAACATGCTATATCATGGCAAGATAAGCATAAAAAATAGTTAAGGCATGGTCAACATAGCCTTAACAAGGTGCTCTCTAATGAGGCTTAAATGGCCATTATTGAAACAACAAGGAGAGGGGTGGCCCCTCTCTTCTTAGGACTCAAGCACCATCCTCCTCACCACTGAAAATCTTAGGGATTCAGTGTGAGGAAGGCCCAACACAAGTGGTCCCGGAGCTCAACCAAAATGGCAAAAAATGGGGCAAACAATGCCCTAAGAGGGTCAAACAACCCACAGCTTAAAACACTCTTAAAACAACTATTTAGACCAGGAAAAAAACAAGACTTTTTTATGTTATCACACAAGGTCTAAAAATAGTTTCAAGATAGGTGAAAAGCTATGCAAAAATGGAAAAAAAGGGTAAGATTGTTACCCTTGTAGACCCTCTTCAAGAATGATTGCTCAGCAGCTTCTTCAAGCTCAAAACCACCCAAAAACACCAAGAAATCTTGTCGCCGTAGCAACCAAGAGAAGGTGTAGGACTAGGGTTGTGTGCAATAGTAAGAGTAAACACACAACAAGGCAAGAGAGAGAGATATATAGAGATGGAATAGATACAAACTCAAACCCTAATCTCAGAGCTCCTCTGAATTTTTTTGTAACCCTAAGGAGAGGAGAAGAGGCTCCTCTTATATGACAATCCTCTTGTAAAGCTTTCCAACAAGCTTTGTCAAGAGGGAGATCCCTCTAACAGGCTCCCTGTGCACGTCTGAGTGTCGTTTCTTT